ATATATATATATATATATATATATATATATATATATATATATATATAAAATAGCATATCCACAAATGGACTTTTAAGTACCATGAGGTGGCTAAGCATAATGTGGTAGTACCATGGCATTGTCAAGGAAAAATATCCATAATAAATTTTAAGTTAAAAAGCCAACTCATAAAGCAATAAATATAGTATGGTTTCCTTTTGGTAATAACATATATATGTATATATACACAAACACATATATGTATATTTGGTAAAAAAGGTATATATAGGCATAGTTATAGAAAAAATTTATATGTTTTTGTATACTTTTTTGTGTACTTTTCTTTATTGCTTATAATAAAAAAGATATTTCTATAATTAAAATTTTAATCTGGGTTAGAAGATGTGAATCAATGAAGTTTATGAGCCGAACCTTCAAGCATGTGCTTCATACATGCACTGAAAGAAATTTAAGAATTTATTATGTATTTATATTTAGTCTCCTTTTGCTGTCTGAGAACTATCGAAAGGTCAAACACAGTTAAAACTTTCAAATTAGCATATGCTTTCTTAACATGGCATCTGGCCTGGCACACCCAGACAAGGGGCTATAAGCTTGACTCCCCGCCCTGATGGGTCATAGTTTGGAACAATCTGATGGTGGTTTATCACAAGCTCTGCTATCTTAGGCAAAAGTAAACAACTGTGACCAGCTTCCCTGAGCCATGAGCTGCTCTGGGGTGTTGTAGTGTCCTCCTCACACGCATGAAGGAAAAGTAATTACCCAGGCAGGCTCTGGGGTTTCTAAGTTGCAATATTTAATTCATGAGGCCAGAGCTGCCAAAACCTCGGTTGGTACAGCAGCAAGAATAGCCAGGAAGGTATCTGGGGGTCAAAGCAGAACAATAAGACTTCCCTGTGGGAGGGAAACAGTCCTGCAGCACATTTAGTAGCTAATCTGTTCCTTACACTCAGCTCCACCAGTGCACAAGGGACTCCATCAGCTCACGACCTTTCACCTTCTAGATGCAGACCTCTCCTTCTGCCTCAGGGCAAACCCTCTTAGGGGATCCCCAGAATTCCTGGGCCCCCTGGTACTATCTGCCATTTCCATTACCTGGTACATGATGGAGGAAGGCGGGGGCTCGATGCATGGCTGCTGGTCAGGGAGGGGAAGCTCTTCAAGCAGGTCCACGTTGGACAGGGCATCTTCCAGGGTGACGTGCGTGGTCATGGTTGCAGTTTCTGTATTCTGCACTGTGGGAAAGGAAGAGAAAGTCAGTGGAGAATTTCAGGGGCCTCTAAAATTCCTCTTAACCACACCATGTCCAGGATCCTTAGGGAGTACAGAGAGAGTTAAAACACATTGAGGCCACTTCTACTCACCACTTCTTCCCAAGGTGTTCTCAGTGTGTATCTTTTATATCTGAGGATCTCTTTATGGCTAACAAAGTACTTTGTGTGTACTTGGTCGATCCTCACCACCACCCTCTGTGATCAACGTGGAAGGTGGCACTCTATCCATATAACTGATGAAAAATCAAGGCTCAGAGAAGTTATGTGATGCCCACACAGCCACGTCACCAGGAGCGAGGGACCTCAAGTGGGATGTGAGGACATGGGTCATGGTTAGTTTCTCCACCTTTCGTTCTTCATAAGGATATTTATGAGTTCCACTCTTAAATTACCATGCAATACAATTATCCATGATGGTGACAGCCAAGATAATCAACTGAAAACCAAAGCCCAGGTTTTTAGGCTAATTAAATTGGGATTAAAATAACTCAATTCCTGCAAATCAACCTTCCTTGCAAAGATGGAGGAGCCACTGTCTTCCTTGGCCTGGGTATGTTTTGTGAGTCACATCAAACAAATCAGCCCTAAATGGACATTTCTGTGTCTTAGATCCTGGCACAGCACAGCTGCTTTGATTGTATGACTGGCAGGATTAGAAGCTGAAGAGAATCTGAACAGCACAGTTACCCAACTCGAGCTAATTCCTATTTTAAGAACTCAGCACCCAGCAAACAGAATACTCATTTTTCCCCCCAAACATATGTGAGACACTGCTTAAAAACTAATCACGATTTAGGCTATAAATCAAGTTCCCACAAGTTTCTTCAAAAATGATAGCCTACAGGTTACATTCACTGTTTATTAAATGTAATGCAATGAAATTAGAAATCAATAATGCAAATTGTAGCAATAAAATCCCATACCTTTGAAAAAGTGTAAAACATACTTCAAGGTCATTCAAAACTAAAAGAGGAATTCCAATAGAAATGATAAGATATTTAGAAATGAAAGATGGGAAGCACTAATACATGTCTTCAACACATTTAGCTGAAGGAAAAGTGGAACTAAATGAAGTTAATGTTGCACTAAAAAACCTTAAGAGAACAAAAGTCAGCCCAGAGAAATGAGAACAGAGGGACTGAGAGTTACAAAGGCAGACATAAAGCAAAAAACAAAGCCAAAAAAAAACCATAACAGTAGAGGTAAACAAAAACACTAAAAGCTGAGTTCTACAAAACAGCTTTTAATAACAATAATAAAGCCAACCCTAAACACACATGATTAAGAGAGACACAAAGAGAAGGGCCACTGTGCTTGTCTGAGAACCCCTTCCTGACCACCTTCGATTCCAAGGAGTTGTGAGATCCCTAGGCTGGAATTTCTCCTGTGAATGTCAGCGAGTTTGCCTTGCTTGCTAGGAAATACGGTGTCTGACATTAGGGGGAAAAAGGACCATCAACACAAGAATTTGGTACAGGGGCTGCAAAGGACTAAAACAACTGCAGAATATACCCAAGGTCATGCCGCCCCGAGACGAATACCTTCCTTAGGCCCAAGGTTGGGAGGGCAGAATGGGGCTGAGCCTTCACTGGCTGCTGTGCAGCTAACCAGATTCACATTTCACTGAGTTCTCGAACACACCTTCCCATCACGTACCATGGCAACAGCATATGCTGCATCCAGTGAGGGCTCACTGAGCTCAGAGGTAACTTCCCCATCTGCCCTCTGCAGAAGGCTGGTCTCCTAGGGTGGTTTCAGGTCCTCTCCACACCTAAGTTTCTTCCTCTTCTCTACCCCACAGTTCTAAGTGTGGCATTCAGTTCTACAGCAAAACCACTTCACTGATCCATTGAAAGAAAAGGAAAAAAAGACTCTCTTCCTTCTTACACTACTACTAAGTCCATTTTACAGGAGGGAGTAATGATTTTACTGGGCATAATGATCTTCAGCCTCCAAAGCCCTAGTAATTATCTTCATTAATTCCAATTATAACAGTAAAACATTTCTTTAGCCCTTACTTTGCGTCAGACACCACGCGAAGTACTCAACTATTTCATTCTTGTATCCACCCTATAAAGGTAGGTACTATGATTACTCCCAGTCTATAGATGAACCAACAGAACCTCGGCATTTAATTTCATAGGATCAAGCGCTGGCAACTGGTGGAGGGAAGGCTGGCCCAGGTTTGTCCAGCTCCATAGTCTGAAGTCAGCTTCATTACTACATACTTCCCTCCAAGGACTCATGCTCGCATTTTGAGATTACACTTGATGAGTGGAGGTTTATTTCATACCAACCTCTACACTAGGTGTTTTCAAAAACTATGCATTAATGGTTCTTAGCCCTGCTTGCGCCAAAAAATCATGTGCACAGCTTCTTAATAACAAAATGCCTGGGTTCCAACCAGGGGACCAGGAAGACTGCATTTGAAAGGTGTCCTATCTCATTTTCAATAAGGAAAATCCAGATGAAACTTACAAGGAGATACACCATTTCTCACTGATTAGATCGACTCAAATCCAAAAGTTTGACTACACATGCTGTTGGCAAGGCTATGGAGAAAAAGGCTCTCCCAAACATTGTTGGTAGGCATGGCAAAATGACACAACTCCCGTGGGAGGAAATCTGCAATATCTAACAAACTTCCATAAGCATTTTACCCTTCGACCAGCAATCCCACTTCCAGAAATCTGTCCCAAAGATGCACTGACAAAAATACGCAAAGATATATGCACAAGGCCATTCACAGCAGGACTACTTGTGATAGCAAAAACTGAAAACAGCAAACATGCATTGATATAGTTAGGATACTTGCCCTCACCCAAATCTCATGTTAAATTCTAATCCCCAGTGTTGGAGGTGGGGCCTGGTGGGAGGCGTTTGGATCATGAGGGCGGGTCCCTCATGAATGGCTTGGGCTATCCCCTTGGTGATGAATGAGATCTGAGTTCACAGGAGATCTGGTCATTTAAAAGTGTGTGGCACCCCCCTCCCCCACACTGCCCACTCTCTTGCTCCTGCTTTCACCATGTGGTATAACTGTTCCCCCTTCTGCCTTCTGCCATGACTGAAAGCTTTCTGCAGCCTCCCCAGAAGCTGAGCTGATGCTGGCACCACGCTTCCTGTACAGCCTGCGGAACCTTGAGTCAATTAAACTTCTTTTCTCTATAAATTACCTAGCCTCAGGTATCTCTTTATAGCAGTGCAAGAATGGCCTAATACATCCATTAACAGAGGAATGTCTGGATAAACTATGGTGCCACCATACAGGGAAATATGAAGCAGCAGGAAAATTAAGTGAGGACCCTCTCTACATGCTACTACGGGTGATCTCCAGGACATGGTATGGAGAGCATGCGCTCATTTACCCAGGAGCGGGGGCTGCAGATGTCTACACACACATCTTCTACTTAAAAAATAAACCATGGAAAGGCAAGCCACATACTTTTAAAAATTAGTTACCTATGGAGAACAGGAAAAGAAGGGAAAACAGTTAACAGGCAGAGATAGGGGCTAGAATACTTTGAATATGTCTTATTTTGTAGATTTGACTTTGAAAGCATCAAAACATTTTACATACTTACAAAATAAAATGTAAATTTATAAAAAGTGGCCCCCAAATCGAAAAGTAAAACGAAACAAATGAATGTATATATGTTGTACTATTGGAGTAACTCCACAGAAAGGGACTATTATTCCAAGTGATTTTAAAATTGAGCCATGTGCTGGAAGAGCCCTGATGGATCACAAAGACATCTAATAAAAGCTTGATTTTTATTACTTTGTTACTGTTAGATGAGCCTGTGAACCAACTATTATGCTGAGAATTGGTAAACAAAAGCAAACATTTAACCTGTCTTTCCTAAACAAACTATACCACCAGATAACCAAACTATAGAAGAGATGGATGTTTCTTTCCATAAAAGTATTTTTTTCCTTTTTAAGATAAAAAGACAATATCCTTGTTTTCCAACCTCTACAAACAAATGGATCTAGGCACTGATCATCATCAGCTGCTAACATCCCTAAATGAAAGACAATCAAATATTATGTGCTTAATGACGGAAAAACGCACCAAGAATGCTGGATCTAAAACAAAGCACCTGAATCTAATTAGGCCTTTCATGCCAACTCACAGGAAATATAAGAGGGCAGAAAAACATGCTATACCCCAGTGATGTAATCAGCAAAATACAATCTATGACAAATTCTGCAGGACAAATGACTCAGGACCTCTAACATACAAATTGCAAAGACAGAAAAGAGAGATGGGAGGAAAATCTATAGATTTTGAAGAGACCGAACACACTATCACGTGTGGACCTTATTTGGATCCTATTTCAAACAAACCACCATACAAATAAAATTATAACTTTATGAGAAAATTAGAAAATTAGTACTGACTGGATATTTGATAATATGAAGGAAATATGTTATTTTATTTAGGTTTGATAATATCAAGGTTAAGTTTTAAAAGAGCCTTTATCTTCTTGAAATACCTACTAAAATATGGATAAAAGGACACAGGGGTTTGCTTCTAAATAATACTAGATGGGGGAAGAGTGAGTAAAAACGAAACAAATTCAGCAATAAGTTAATAAGTATAGATTGTGTGTGACACATACATAGAGATTACTGTATTTTTCCATCCAATTTTATATATGTTTCAAAGTTTTCATAAAATCCCCTAGATCAGTTTATAAGCTCCCAGCTCTTATCCAACTTTCCTTTTTTCTCCCATAACTAGGTTTCTTCTGGGCTTCTCAAACTTAAAAAACACCCATTTACAGATGGGCATGGTGGCTCACACCTGTACTCCCAGCACTTTGGGAGGCTGAAGTAGGTGGATCACCTGAGGTCAGGAGTTCGAGACCAGGTTGGCCAACAGTTCAAGACTAGTCTGACCAGCCCGGTCAACTTTTCTTACTAGAAATCCCGTTTCTACTAAAAATACCAAAAAA